TAAAATATTATAATTTTAGGCTAAATTTGAATCCAATAAGAACAAATGGACTAAAATTACTAAAACCTATGTGTAAAACCAAACTAAGGACCCATGATTTCTTTATTCGTAATATTAATTTCTGGAATAAATTACCGAACGACATAGCTTGTGCGCCATCCCCAGCTATCTTTAAAAAAAGAATAGATAATATCATTTATAATATTATTTAAAAAGTTCAGATCATGCAAGGAAGTGTGAAATCGCGATTTTTACCATCCGATTATAATTGTTTCGAATTGTACTATTGTATTGTTTTGTAATTTCTTCTTTATTTCCCTTTAAACTGTCAATTTTTGCCATATTTTCTATTTTCTATTTTTCTTATTACTACATTTTATTATTTGTTTTTTAAACTTGTTATTGATACAAGCACATGGCGTTAGCGCTGGCTTGGCTGGTTTTCAATGAATAAATAAAAATTAATAAAAAAGGATATTTCAACAAAATACAAAATAATGTCGAACTAACTAACAAACATTGGCAAAAAACCACTGCAAAAAGAAAAAACAAGCAATTTCGTAGAATAATGATCTACGATTATAAATCAGACAAGTAGTATGGTCGGCTGAGTTTTCTGAAAAATCGCCTTCGGATTTTTCAGTCGTAATTTTTGAACAGTGGAATAATTGGTTCATCATTTTTGATTACAGTTTTGCTGATTACTGATTGTATAGATCGGTCCTGTTGAATTTTTTGTTGGATCTTATAATTTCATGAAAAACAAAAGAACTGCTGATTTTCCTTTGTTTTCTTCCTTTAGAGGAACTTGCTTTACCAACTCCTGGAGTGAGCCATTTTCAAGTCTTTGGATCCGAAGTTGTTCTCGAAATTAAACAAAAAGTCACCAGTCACCATTTTTCCTAAGCTGTCTAAGCCCATATGCCATCGGATCGCTTTTAAAATCTTTCTTAAACGTATCAGTTCAGGTTTTCAATGGATCTTTGGTCTACAAGTATTGTTAGAATATGGCAAGTATTGCTTATAGGCTGTTAAGAGTTAAGAGTTTTACAGTACAGGTTTACTCCAGCGGGTAACCTCAGCATTGAGCGCTCTCAATTGGGCAATAATCTGCTGAGCCATTCTCCCCATTCTCCCCTTCTTCTAATAGCGCAAACCATTATTGATTAGGCTGGTGCTTATTATGGGAATGAAGCATTTCCAAGCCTCTCCATTTATTACCATCTAATTCTGAAAGTAGCAGAAGCCAAACATTTCAGTCTCCTGCAGTCTCAAACTGGCTGAATCAAATGCCATAACAGCTCGTGGAAAAGGTAACTGCAGCAGTTACACGAGACAGAAGATGCCGAAGGCTATCACTATTGTATTAAATCGGGTTTAACTGCAATTTTTTTCACCGTTTCTGCATCTTTATGGAGTTTTAATCTCCAAATATCGACCTAATAATGAACTAATAAAAATTTGGATTAGCGATTTACGCTGATTTACCAAAAACTTTGTCAAGTAAACGGAACAGTAGAGTATTTCAGAGAGGAATTCAATATTTTCATGGTTCAGAAGGGTATACTTCACTCGGCATATCATGCAATCTTATCATCACTTATCATGTTTTATCACCCATCTGCTGATCGTCCATTCAAATAATTTCCTTAAATTACTTTTCCACAGTGTTTAAATTTATTCAATTATAATAACTCGTACCAATAAATCGTTAATAATTTATTCGATTATAATATTATTTATTTGTTAAATTGTTGATAATTTTAAAAAAAATTGTTAAATTATAAATGACTAATAAAACTATGTTATTAAAATTATTAACGAGTTCGATACGAGTTTAACTATGATGCCGCATGCGGTCCGCAATGATAAATTTTTTTTGGGTTTTCATAAAGTTGCCATCATCTTTATCACCGTTAACGACCAATACAACCGATAATTTATTTTGTATGAAATAAAATAATTTTTATTATTAGTGCCTTTATTAATAATTATTGAAAATCATTTTATATGTGTCTTTAATCACACTGAATTTCAAAAAATTTTTTATTAAAAAATTAAATTTTTTTTTTATTATTCTTGTAGCATCCACAAAATTTTGTTGAAAATGTGATAAATGTGATATTATACGATCAACACCCGCAATTATTATAGGATTTTTGCTAAACTTCATTATGACATATACGATTACTACCGTCGAGTTCTTGAACAAGGCCACTGATTATATGGCCATGGGTTTTTGAACTTCTTGATGTCGTCCCGCGTAGCAGGGTTTCGAACTCCCATCATAGAAAAATTGCAAAACTTAAGCCATTATCTGCATCTGCATTGTTATTTTAACGGCAGAGAGCTCGTTGGTAACATTATGATACCGTATATACTGACATATGCTTTTCTTAAAATCTATTTTATTTTAATCTAATTTAAAAGAGTGAAAAGAATAATCTATTTTGAAAGAGTGAATATTATAATTTGGAATGAAAGCTGAAATCACTACATATGTATTGATAAGGTTTTATCAGTAAATCATTAATTTTTAAGAGATAAACGGACAATTATTATAATAATCTAATCAAAAATGCTTATAACAAAAGGCAACGTTTTTTATTCCTTATAATACAATAAGAAAATATTGCTTTTTTACTGAACACAAAGATTTTTAGCAACTTTACTGCTTCGTTTTATAACGTTTATTAAACCATTTGATTATCGACTAATAAATAATATTATAACATATAAATGATTCACTAACAGTTGGATAAACACAAATAAATACAAAAAGATGCTGGTAGTTCGCAGAAAGACATATGTTTAGATTAGGCGTTCCTATAACCAGTTTTATCGAATGGATTCCTTTGACAATCCAGTGGACTTAAGTTACGCGGTCCTATAACCAGTTTTATCCAGTGCATCTCTTTGACAATCCAGTGGACTTAAATTGCGCGGTCCTATAACCAGTTTTATCGAATGGATTTCTTTGACAATCCAGTGGACTTAAGTTATGCATTCCTATAACCAGTTTTACCGAGTGGATCCCTTTGACAGCCCAGTGGACCTTGTGGATACCAATATTATTGTTTATCTATTTATATAAATGCATACTGGTGATGAAAAAAACTATTCAGAAAAAAACTAAAAAAATAGAATTATAGTTCAAATTATTCTATCGCTGCTGCATAATAGTTTATTTCATAGATTGTAGGAAATATTAAATTTCAGTGATAGGTGGTAATAGGTAGTGATCAGTGAAAGCGTAGAGGTAAATTGTCCTTATCACGGCGGTCATAGCGAAATTTGGAACTCGTGGAACTATAGCCCTTGGATTGACCATTATGAAAGGACTTACAATAGTCACACCTTTTATAAAAAAAATTTAAATAAAACCAGAACTATTCGAATAATTAATTTCTTTGCCATCTAAGGAATTCGAATTATTCTCTAAATTCGTTTCATTTTCATCGATACGTTCAGTGGCATCAAATAAATTATAAAGAATTTCATACTCATTCGTTTTGCAGTTTAATGAAATAATCGGTACAAATCTTAAAAAATAAAGTTAATTATTATTTCGTAAATGATGCTCATGCATGTGTAATAATCGAATTAATAAAAAATTACTAATAAATATAATAAAAGAGATGAATTTTTCCGATTCATTATTATTATTATTATCACTATTATTATTATCAATTATCACTATTATTACTATCAATTATCATTATTATTATTATTAATTATCATTATTATTATTAATTAGCGATTAGAAAGAGCAAAATAAGATATTTTTTTTGAGTTAACTAACCGATGCCACCAAAGAATTTCATCCGGTAGAAATGAAGTTCTTGCTTGAAAAGTCATACCAGTAGCTTCAACTATACCTTCAACAGTCATTATTATTTCAAAATCGGATGCTTGTAGAGATTCTCGAGTTATCCCATACAAAGGACTTTCTTCATCGATTATATGTCTAATAATAATAGGCCTAAAAAAGTAATTTAGAATAAAATCTGACTTTCAGATAAACGAGTGAGCGAAAAATTATCGTATACCAAACAATTTTTTTAGAGGCGGAAAAAAATGAGCAAATTTATACCATAAAAGGAGAACTCTGTCCCAACCACGATCATAACCAACATTCATATCTTTTAATCCAATTAATTCACGTTGACCCTGCTGAAATTCACTGAAATCACCTTTTTATCTCCGATAAATACTTCAGATGAAACTGGGAGCTCGTAATTCTTTTTTTTAAAAGATCCTTCACCATTACTGGTTGGACTCGCTCCGCTGGTTTATTAAACTGGAAAAATATGCCAGGAAGTTCCTTAACCATAGAAGTAGCGATGAATCACGAATATCACTCGGATTTTTGGGCAGGTTCATTCCTGCGGGAAGGAGAACCACCGAATTAAGAAATTCTAGTCATTCGTATTCGTTATCTATTCTCAAATATCTCTCTCCTCACTACATTTCCTACCTTGGTAGCCGGTAAAATAAACCAAATTAGAAGTTTCTGTATCAAAAGTAATTAGTACTATTGTATAAAGAAGAAATTATTTGGTGCATCGAATGAATAAAGATTACGTGATTGACTTTTGAGTTTACTATATATAATCGAACGTGAGATTCAGCAAGATAAAGTTTGCGTTGAATATCTGCTATTCGTACCATTAGAGTTGGTCTTTTATCATTTTCATCAATCGGTCCAATTACCGCAAATCGTGAAAACCGCACTTCCTTAAATGTCAGGTAAGGCGAAAAAGAATTTTATGGGAATCCAGAAAATCCAAAATCTCGCATTTATTTCGGCGAAGTTTTCATATTGCCGTATTATACGATATGATAATTACCTTTTTGCGTTTTTTTGGACGTAATAACTTAGCAACAATGATTCCGGCTAATAGAGTTTGAAGAAAGATACCAAAAATGAGCTGTATACATAATGTTATATAAGCTGGAGGGCACATATCAGTCATAAACCTATAACGATGTGAAATTAACTGCTGAAAATCTCCGCTTGCATATCATTTATCTTATCACAATAGATATCACTATTTTGGTGAATTAAGGAAATTTTACTATGAGCTGAATAAAATTTTAATTTATAAATTTAATAAATAGATAATAGATCATAGACAATAGTTAATAAAAATAGATAATTGATAAATAGATCGTTTATATAATTAGACATTCTATTTTTGGAGAAAAAACATTTTAGGTGTCATGAGAAAGTCTAAAATAGAAAAAAGATTTTGTAATTTCAATTTCCAATTTTTGTAATTTTTAATTATTTCAAATTTTTAAAATTTTTTATATAATATGAAAGTTTTTTCTGAAATAATTTTTGAAATATTCTTAAAGCGATATTTAAAATAATAATGATAACATAATATTCTTTAGAATAATTTTCAAAATAATTTTTTAAAAGTTTTTTATCAGAATTCGCCGATAGTTTAGTTGCAATATATTGAAGATTTGGATACTAATCGCTGCATCACGCCTTCGTCGAGCGATATTGTCGCTAAGAAATCATTGTGGGAATCGCTGCATCACGCCTTCGTCGAGCGATATTGTCGCTAAGAAATCATTGTGGGATCGCGAAAATGGATTTGAACCAGCAATTTGCTTTATTAATCAGCGATCTTTTAGAGCAAAGGAGATTATTAAGATAGTTTTGTTTTCACCATCTCAGAGGGATGAAGTATGGCCGTAAACCAAATAGCGAAAAGTCTTTGAAATGCTTTTATATAAAGACGTTGGCACGACCCATAAAATGAAAATTGAACATGCCAGTGCAATATGCGAATAAAAAAAAGCTTCTGTATTTATGGTTCAATGAACAAGATAAAAAGTCCTATGGGCCGAACCCATGAACTTCGTTTTTGCATTCGTCGTTTGCGATAAAATTATTGAGAAAAATATATAATAATAATAATAATAATAATAATATATATATGGATAAAAAATATGTATGACATCGAATTCTTTCCAAATTAATAAATAATAAATTTATTGGCTGAAAAAACATCTGCTTAACTTACCGACTACCATAACCGACTGTATGCTGACTCTCCAAACTAAAAATGCAATTAGTGTATTTTCCATTTATTGAATGAATTTTCATGAATTTGATAATTAGTTGGTGCGAATTAAAAACTATAATTAAAGTGGAAGGTACATAATTTCTTAAATAAACTTAGAAGTCTTTTAACGGCTAATTAGAATCAGACAGCTAATTGATGCCGCAAACATGGAATATTATGAAAAGGCTCGGTCTAAGTCATATTCAGCTTGCGAATGGAGAGATTTGCAAAGAACTATTATTAAAAGATAAAAGATAGCATTTTTCAAGATTATGATGTACCTGAAAAGAAAGGCACTGATAAACCCGTTTATATTGGCAATGCATTGCTTGTTTTCCGCTTTCAACTGAAAGTTTTAAAGGTTCAATTTTAAAGAATATTTATATTAACATGATGACAATTTATTTTCGCAAATTTAAGTATTATTGGGTCGAGTGGTGTATTGCTTAGATTATCGCATTACGGTTCGCTAGGTTTCCAGTGGTAGAAATTGGTTATCAAAAGCCAAATCCTGGTGATGCTCGCAATCCACCTGAATTCCTACTCTCATGTGACTGATTTAAAAGTTTTCTTATTCTAATAGCAGCTGGAATCAATCAGCAAAATCAGAAATGGTGGCTGCTATTGAAAAAAAAACCATTTATTACATTTTCTTCATATAAATCCCAACATCAGCAAGAATAATTTCTACATTTTAATATCGAATAGTTCAAAAATTAAATAAAAAAGTTTCAGAAGAATAAAGAAGCTTAAATTTCAAAATTTTAGAAAGTTAACCCTCGAATCGCCCGATATTAAAAAAATAATATAATATATAACTCCGAAAAACATCCATGAAATTACGAATCCTCCAACAAACAATAACAAAACGCATCGCCAACTCCATTCGATAACGAGATGAAACCAATTCCTGAAAAATATATTCCTTTTACTGGAATATTCTTCTACGACTTAGCCAATTATTTACTATAAATTATCTTATAAACTAATTCGAATAAAATTTGTAATACAATACATTCGTAAAAATCGCAGTTGTTCTTGTTGCTCAGTTTATTTAAATTTATCTCTAAAATATCTCAAATATTAATCTATTAATAAATTAATTTATTGAAATAATTTAAAAAATATTGAAATTAAAAGGGTGTAAAATACAAAAGTGAGATCATTTTAAGTACCATTCGACTCTAATCCCCCACAATAGGAAATCTATCATTAAGAAACTTGGGGTGGTCCTGGAAATTCGCACTCCACTTTTGTTCCTCCCAAATGATTTTACCTCAAAATTATTTATCTCATTCCATTAGTAAAAACTGAAATGAATGAAACACTTGTTTAGTTAAAAATCATTTATAGTTATAAAAATTGTTTATACTTATCTTATCATAGATCAGCCTTCGATTGTTAAAATAGGTTTTTTTTTCAGTTTTGCAGGAGGCTCCTTTAATTAATTTTTTTATTGTTTTATTGATAATTTGAATCTTTGATTTTATCACAATAATTTTTATTTCATTAGTGTATTTATTATTATATAATTTTCTGCAGATTAGAAATCAATTTTCTCAAGGAAAAATGAGAAAGAAAACCTCCAAGAATTACGAGATGAATGAGGCAATTGATGCTGTTGTATAAGGCAATCACCATTTTTGGAAACCAAACGCGGTCGCAAAACATGTTCTGCTTCAAGCATCGGCGATTTAATCGAAATGTCGGCATCCATTTGTAGCAAAACCTTTATAGGGTAGCTACTTCATCATTCCTTTTCCCTTTTTGTACCGATTTACTCGATGCCTGCTTAATATCCAATTAATAGGTTAATTATTACAATCATTACAGAAAACATGGACTTTAGATGGACGTTATATATTTTGAATTAAAATAGATGAATGACGATAAATCATCGTAGGTAATGAAAGTCATATAAAAATTTTATCATAGGAGATAAAATATGGTAACTCTCGTAAGTGGCCTCAGCCTCAGCCTTCTTCTCGCTTAGGAAACTTAACTGAAATATTCCTTGCTAATGCCAAATATAAGAAGGGATGAAATTCATTAGCCATCAAATGGCCTCACTTTAAGATTTTACAAAAATACTAGACAAGGCTGTCGCTTTATAATGAAAAGCACTGAAGTACGAAAAAAGAGAACGAAAAATACGGATTAACAAATTAATTGAAGGCATTCCTAGCCACAGAATGTAAGTGTGATGTTAATCAGGAATCAATATTATTTCTCTTTTTCTCGAAATTTAGGAAAAAAAAAGGCCTTAGTAACGGTGAAAAATATTCACAGATTATGTACTTTAAACCTTAATAATTTAAAACGATTTCAATGGGACTCTTTTCGCTTATTATTATAGTGGAAAAACAAATCAGCGTACAATGATATTTATAAAATTTTTTAATTCATCAAATTTCAATAGTTTCAAATTTAAAAAAAAATTATTCGATTAGTTAAAACTAATAATTAGTGGTACTTAAGAAATTTTCGATGAATAAAAATTTCGCAAAGATTTTTTCACTTATTTAGTTCATCCAGCGAAGCATACATAGCACAAGGCAAGTTCATAATTCTTTCTTTTTTTCCTCTCTTCCATCTTTTTTCATTCCTTCCATTTCCTTATCGTTCCTTATCTGTATCCAATATCATCCTACCATCAGTAATTCATTCTATTCATATAGCACCTACTGTATTCCCTCCCGTTGGGGTAGTAATGAATAGGGGCTAATTTCGGCACGAATAAACATAGCCATTAACATAATATGTATGGGTCTAATTTTTCTTCTTCTTGTTAGACTCCAAATAAGAGAGATTTCCATTTTCTATTGAAATTTCTTGAAGCTGGTAGATAGAATAGATAGATAAAATGGAAAAAGCTGCTCAGTAAATTTGAGGATTTGAAGATAGTTGACTTTCATACAAATCCAAATTAACAAAGGAATAAAAAGTTTCAATGGTCGCAGAAGTATTGATGAACAACTACTGATGAATATTTATACATTTATTGATAATTATTGATAAAAATTACTTTCATTCTTAGTTATTTCTATCATTTTCTATGTGAGTGAAAATTTCTGGATAAGAAATTAGATATTTGAATTGTAGGTGATTGTTTTTCTTTTGGGCGGATTAGAATTGAAATTGAATCTTTCAAATCTTCTAATAGCGTAAGCCAATCTTAATTTAGGTGCATTTCGCTTCCGCTGCTACCGTGAAATCATTGAAGCGAAGAGGCATTCAAGAACAAAGATGCAAGTAAATCTTCAACAATTCACGGTAATATACGATCTTTCCGTTGGATTGTATCCTATATTATAATATATTAAAAAGTAATTATTTATTGATTTAATTCATTTATTTAATAATAATAATTAATTTTATCCACTTTCGTAGAAGCTTAGAATTAATTCAGAAAAAAATTCACAAATTCTTATCAATTCATCCGTAAAATAAAAGTTACAATGATCATTGTTAATAAGAATTTTCGCAACTAATACTAATACAAAATTTGCATTCCAAAATATTTCAGTAAAAGATTCAAAATTGCTGATAAAATAGGAATTAAATCAAATTTATTTAAGAATGCATGACGAATAGGCCGTAAATTAATTTGTAGTGAAAAAAAAATTATGGCCAAAATAATCATAAGGCGTGACGCCTATCTCTAAGCAATATTACATTTTCTAAATTTTGTTTTTCCTCAATAAAAAGTATTTTACAATGTGGGCGTCGAACTATTTTATTCATATAAAGCCATTTTTTAAAAGGTTTCAAGTATTCTTCTCTGATGATAGAATGGCTGTCGTTCATTATCATATCATCATCATATTATCATCATATTATCATTATTATCATCATAACTATTAAGGTTAAGTAGTTGTCTCCGTAAGAAGATAAAAAATTAACGAGTAATACTGAAGATCCACTTATATTTCTATCGCAAGTGACTCACTGGCAAGAATTTGACAAAATGAAGCAAGCCTAGCTAGGAAAGATAAATAATGAGCGCAAGCCTCCTTTGCTTACTTATTTTCTTGCTCGGTGTTCTTGCCAAAAACTTGGCTTGATCATACGGTTTCATTACGGTTTATTTCTGCTGATGGGTGAGGATGTCTGGTAATTTTCAATTTCACGAAACCTTTCTTTTCATCTTACTGAAATGAAGTTTAATTTCTTTCCAGTTTTTTCTTGAGGTCAAATAAGAAAAGGCGAAGGAGAACGATCCTTAATTCTAACATAATTTTGGTTTGCCATCAATATGCAAAACTTTTGTTCGTAAAAATTTATAAAATTCCTAAAATTAGTTCAAATTTGCTTCCATAGAGAAGGATACTGTAAATAGGTATACGTAAAGATGAGAAAGGATAAGTTCCCTACCGAGTAAAATTCCAGAATAATCAAAAATTTTTTTGGAATATTTTTTTAAAATGAATTTTGAGACTTTGATTTTTTTGTTTGAAATATTTTATTTAAAAATCTTTCTAAAATATTTTTTGGAATGAAAAATTAAGGTAAGTAAGGACTATGACCGATTTACAAATCTTTTTACTACTTCGCTAATCATTAACAAAATTGTAATTTTAGAATTTAGGCACAATTTGGAGATGCCTTGGTACCTTAACTAACTAAAAGAGATCTGACTAAGAGACCTATTAGACCTATTTTGCAGTAATAGACAGAATAGACAGAAATTGAATATTCATAAAGCCATCTTTATTTAGATTTTTCATGCAAAATAACCACATTATATATAACTAAATACAAGAAAAATTACTTAATCGTTAATTAAGTTAAATTAATTTAAGAAAATTAATTTTTATTGTATTAAGGAATGTAATCTCTGAATCGAAGCAAATAAAACAATTCAAAAGTTGTTCGAAGAAATATAAAATTGATGAAATTGATAAGTTTGATAAGAATCGGTGATTTCTTTTTTACTCTATCTTTCCTATTTTTTATATAAAAAAGATTTCTAGTCGATATAAATTGAAATGTTAAATTTGAATTAATAAATTTGCTTTAATAAGCGGAATACGAAATAAATTATCGAAGAACTATTAGATTATATGGCAAGAAAATTGAAAAACATCACATCGCAAATAATTTGCTTTTATGAAAAAAATTGATTACGATTAAATGAAACTTATTAATGAGGCTATTGAAAATATTTTAAATGAATTTTGCAATAATTTTCATTATTATTCGACTTTTAAACTTTCTAATGAAAAGGTTTTGCCTAAGGCGAAAATTTTATCTCTTAGTGACAGAAATTCAGACGTTCGTTAATAGTACAATCCTAGTAATCAGTCAAAAAATCAGAAATATAATTTTTGTGAAAAGAGGAAGGAAATAATCATCCTATCATTGTTTTAATGCAAGAATTCAAAAAAACTACAGTGAAATTCATGGTGAAATATTGATTTAATGTCACCAGACAATTCAATATATATATATATGCATAAACAAGTTGGCTGCTTAAAATCTAACAAGCCTAGTGAGAAATATTTTTTTTCCTCTTTTTTCTTCTATAAAATTTGACGGAAAACGAGGGAAATCGAGCTAAACGAATCAAAAATCTGAATAGAAAGAATTAAATTTAAAAAATTTTTAATTTCAAAATTAGCATTTTATGGCAGATTATCTTAAAATTTACGAGATTTTCGAATCCGAGAATTTTTAAAATTCCAAATGTAAAAGTACTAATTGCCTATGGGTGTATAGTTAGTTAGGGATAGATAAGGCAGCTACTATCGTTTTGAAATGCTTCATTAGAAAACGATTTTAGGCCATTTGAGAATTATCAAAAAAAAAAAATTTTTTTGTGGAGCAGTTGGCTTAAATTTATATTTTGAATTATATTTAATGATTGGATTAAATCAAAATTCAAAATATTGTTTAAGCTTCGAGAATTCTAAAGAGCTTAAACGAGAAAAATAAGTTGAGAAACTTAGCGAAAGTAGGGAGAATCTCCTCAAATCACTTTTTTTTATACTTCGATTCCTTCGATCCATATTTTAATATTTATCCACTGAAAACTTTTTTATCAGATGGAAACTGCTTATTATTATATAATTCAATAAGCTTTTACTATATGAAATTTAATACAGTGAATTGCTGATCTGCCATATAAAAATGGTTGAAATTTTTCTAGTATTCCCAAAATTTCAACTTTAAAAATTCTTGAAATTTCGATAAAAATTCAAGAGTTTTAACTTTTTCGAAAAACACTCACCATTTTCAGTTTTCCTCGCTCCACTGACTAGTTGAACCAGATAAATTTACAATGAAATCTTAGATAGAAGTGCAGATAAGTCAGCTAAGTGCAGGTAAAATCACTAAGATTTTTGAAAGGATGGTTTACTCCTGTCAGAATTGGAACCCCAGTATCAGCGTTTCGAAACGAGAGCAATAACCGACAGAGCCATTCTCCTGCGCCTAATTTAAATCGCCTTTTAAGAAAAAAAACTAGGTAGGTAGCTAATTCACTGTAAATTTTCTTGAAAATCGAATATGGATTTTACGTAAATCATGAATGATTTTAAAAAAGATTTTCATTATTAAAAGTCATCAGTCTATTTAATAGAATTTATCGATAGTATATAACTCAACTATTCTATTAGCAAAACTTCTATGCCAGCCAATTATTAAATAATAAATAGTTAATTTGATGATTTGTACTGCCTTTTTCCTTCTTCTAATAGCAAAATTTGTTATTGGATTAAGTGGATTTGCTGATTTTTTGCAGAATAAAATCCTATTTCCGGAGAGCCACGTGGAGATAGAGTAATCGAGTTTGCATTAATTATCTACTGAAGTTAAAATGCAAAAAGAATATTTGCCTTTCCTATTCAATTCAGCACTCAACCAAAAGTTTAATTCGAATGCTAGAAAAACTACAATGTTATTTTATTTTGTTTTAATATAAAAGTGTTTTTAACATGAAAAATATAATAAAATATAGTTTTTAATATAAAGTGAAGCATTATGAAATGAAGTAAAACCTTTTTGTGGAATTAAATCAAAGACTTATAATTCCTTTAATGATTATTGAAATAAATACCTTAGGCGATGTAACCTTAGATCAGTGCCTTTTTTTTAGAAAAAATTAGATTTACTTACGAAATTATTTAGATTTTTATAAATATTAATTTCTATGCTTAATATATTTCTTGAAATGACTTTTTTGGCCAAAATAATTTAATGATCCAAATTGATAAGAAATAATCACTCAGTAAAAATTATCGAAAATTGTCGTAAGCGATTCAATCAAATTAAGCTGAAAAAATTATTAAAAAAAAGGAAAAAACAATCGATTTACTAAAATTAATTAAAATTAAATAAGTATTAAATAATTTTAAAAAAAAATATAAATATAATTTAAAAGCATCTGTCGATTATTGCCGAAATGTAAAATTTTAGCTATTCATGAAAAGATTTAAATATTGCAGTGAAGAAATTTGAATGTCGTAAAACCGCTCGAAGATAAATTTCGTTATCCATATTTTAATAAAAAAAAAATATGAAATAAAATTCCGAAAACTGAGAAAAAAAAATATTCTTTCTGGCATTTAATCAATATAATCTTTATTTTCTAAAAAATTTTTCTCAGACCATTTTATTCAAAAATTCTCAAAAAATACTAACTTAAAATGGATTAAAATAAAGAACTTAACTTTATTCAAATAATTTCCCTCACTTCACTTCACTTAACGAATAATTTCACTCTAAATAAATTAATCCATATGTTATAAGCATTTTAATAGAGCTTTTAGAGAATATTTTAATTGATTTAACTATATTAAAGATGATGAATTGCTTATGAATTTATTTTTAAAAAAATTTTAGAAAATGATTCGAAGTAATTTTTGCGAAATAAATTTTAAGGCGCCTTAGGGCAATTTAAAAGGTGTTTTTTGGATTTTAACTTGGTTACTAAAAAATATTTATAAATCTTCGAATTTTTTACACCGAATTAGTTTAATGAATATTGCAAAAGTGGCAAATTACAATTATTCATAATTTGTCAATTTAATCAATCGAATCGAGTAATTAATTAATTAATTAATTATTAAGTAGTGAATGAAATAGAGAGATCGATGAAAATTCCTTTTCATTCATAGCACGCAGCACTTATTTTTGCTCACTTAGCTAAGGTAAAATGCGAATGGTTTAGAAGATCCTCAGTATTGCTTGAATTTATTTTTAATATCGGGTTTGTTCTTGGCAAGAGGCAAAATTAAAGACCATGCTGTTTGTTCTACTTAGTCAAAGCAACAAACGTCGCGTCACTTGGTCTGATTAACACTGATAAATGTAGTTTCAGTACTTTTTATGTTTTATCATTTGTTTAGTGAAAATCTTATTTTTCGCCACGAAGATAATTACGATATCATTTGAACCGAATTAATATTATTTATATTTGATATATATTTTACTTCAATTTAAAGATAGAAAAAAAGTGGAGAAATTACAATGTCATAAATTCATATGAAAATAAAGTTTTGGCATATATGCTTCATTTTTATCAAATTTCTTTCATAAATAATCCAATGAATATTTAATTTTTTTTATTTTTTTTTTATATTCATATTTCTCTCATTAGGGATTTATTCCATAGAATTTTAAAAAACTGGGCACTCGTTTTTTTGCCTTTTTTCCCTAAAAAATAATAATGATAGATCCAACGAATTAACACTAAGGAGTTAGGAAATAGTATCTAAAAAACGCCAATTTTAAGGAAATCGAAACTTTTAGCATCGTCCATTTTAAAAAATGAAAGAAGAAAGAGACAACACAGCCAAATGTTATATTAGATCGCCTGAGAGAAAGCACATCCTTATCCTTGATGATGATAGTAAATCTTTCATGACAAATGAAATCAAAGTACTGCGAGTTTAGCCTCAATCTCTTTCTGCAGTCAAGATCATTGGCAAAGCGAATTTAGTCTAATGATCAATGAAGCCAAAGCAGAAATGGGCCATGGTATCAAAAGAAGGACAGCCTTCAATAACAAATTTGTAAAATATCTTTAAAAGACATTAATTAATAAATTTAGCTGATAAGAAGAGATATACTTTATATAATAATATAATGTTATTATTAAGTAGTGTCAAAATCGATGAGTTTTAGCAAATGCCAAAATTAAAACTGGAAATTTTTAAATGAACCATTCCTAGCTCAGTATTTTTCAGTTAATTACCCCAAACCTGGATAATTCTTGATTCTGAGGAATATGTATTAGTGGCTTTCGGATGTCAAATATGTCATCAAATTTCTTTCTTCGTTTATATTATTTTATATTATTTTTACAAACAATATAAAAATTATATAAAATTATATAAATTATTACTATAAAAATTACTTTTTAAAATATTCTTAAAATATTTTTTAATTCACCAAATATTACGTAAATTTATTTTATTTTCGCAAATTATTATGCTTGAAATTAGATTATTTTATATAAAAATTTTCAGAAAATATCATTTTTTTCAAATTACTCTTTATTTTTTAAAATAAAATTTTAAATAAAAAGTTTTTTAAGTTAAATTTAAATTTTTCCAATAATAATTTGTAACAATGGAAAATTTTCCACGTTAAAAGTAAAGATTTTTTAATTAATGAAAAAATTAAAGTTTTATTCGGACTCTAACCAATATGCGACAAGTGTCTCATAAATATATTTTTTATTTAATTAACGATAACTATATAATATAACGTGAAGAGGAGAGGATGAGCTCGTCACTGATGCGATAATTTTTCATGTTGAAAGAAAGAACGAATAAGCCTCAGAGACGAGCGAAATCCTCGAAAATTTCCTCCTTTCGAACACTGAAAAATTAAGAACAAAATCAAATCAAATAATGAGGTATCGAATTGAATCCCTTCAAATCCGTCTAACTGAAAGCGATTTAGGAATTTCTATGGATATATAATAAAGAATTAATCAGCTACGAAATAAGAACACTCAGAAAACTCAAATAATTTTAACAATTTAGGCAGAATTTCTACGAAAAAAAAGGCAATATTATTATTATATTTCGCTGGAATTTACTCTAATTCGATTAAAATGAATCCTTCGTCAACCGTATCACCTGGTTTGCAATTTACTTGTTTCACCTAGAACAAATTGAATCTTTAATCGACAAAAAATTTATAAATTTCTTAAGTTACAAAATTTTGAAATTATTATTACCAAAGTTATAAATTTAATATAGTCGTATTTAGGAAAAATTAAAGCAAAAAATCTTATTATAAAAAGGATACTTTGCCAGTTTTGCCGGCTAAAAGACTATTTTGCATTTTCATTGCCTCCATAACACATAGTTCCTGGCCTTCAGAAACCTGAAAAAAATTTCATTATAAACTAATAAAAGAATTTAAAATTTTAGAAATCTGAGGCGCGAATAAATTATGGAAGAAATTAGAATCAACAAGAGATTTAAAAGATGAAAAATAATGAAAGATAAGTTTTCACCATCATTCCAGCTGTTGCCGAAACTGATTTTATAGCTCCAGGCATAGGTGCAATAACAACTGTCGATAAATCAAGCTTTGGTTTTTCTTTCATGAATTGCAACATATTTTGGGCGAAAGCAGGCATAATCTTCATTTTGAACGGTGATCCTTTAAAGATCAAAGTGAACTGAAAATTTTTTCATCACTTAAAACGAAATTTCAGTATTTTCGCAAAAATAAATATTCAAAAATAAATAGTCATAAGTTACCAGATTTTCAACACCTTTCTGCAAAAACTTTCATTGACTCAATAATTTTTATTCTACCTGCCATGGTTTTTTAGAAGCGATTTGACTAGTCATTGGTTTGCCATTCACTGTAAAATGAAGAACCGATTGAGCAAGATTCATGTCACCATGGATATCGACTTTTTCACCATCAACCATAACCTATATTATTAAATGAATTGAAAATTTCGAAACAAAACATAAATAGGATTTATCATATCTATGATTATAATAAAAAATAAGAATCTAAGTTTACGTAAAAAAAACAACAAGAAAGGTTTTAAAAGATTTTAAACTCACCTGCGCGAAATTACTTTTGTTTTGAGGGAATGTTACTTGTACATTGGCACGATGATATGGTTCATCCTCATGTCGTGGCATCTCAACAACAAATTCATACTTATGTGAATAGGAATCTGAAAAATTTCCCGACAGTGCAAAACAAATGATAATCTTGTAAGAGTTAATCAATCAAACTCATGGAATTTCTTTTTGAAATTTAGATTAGCTAAATTTTTTCTCGATAAAATGGCCAGAAATATAATTATAGATGTAAAACGACGAATAAATCCGAACTGCATTAGCCAAGAGTCAGAGAAATTTCTCCCCAACTTATGTTCATATTCGCATAATTTCATTTTTATACGAGGTAATACCACGAAATTATTAGCTCAATGTATAATAGTTTTCGCTTTATTAAATGACAAGAGATTCTAACATTTACTTTATTGGAACTTTCCTGGAATAAATTTTTACTCTATGAAATAAAAATTATTATTAAAAAATCAACACAAATTAGATAATTCACAAATTAAAATTGTAAACTGTAAAAAGAATTACCATAAACAGTAGCACGTTGACGACTTTGATTGGTAAATTGTTGTGCTCGAGCAGATTTATGTGCTTGCAATGCAGCCGCAAGTGCTGTAAGATGGCATTCCTCAGATTTCGATAGTTTCGCTCCTGAAAGTAAACCGTTCAGGGAAACTATAGAAAAAATAACCATTTTTGGAATAACAAAATGTTAACAAAGGGCGAACCCCCGAATCCTTCTGGATATGTTTCCATTAAATATTTCGTTGTAATATTACCACTTCTGAATTGTTTCTCTTCAACAATATCGCGTAAAAGTGGAATATTGTGAGTTGGCTGCAATAAAAAAAAATGGTACTGTTGAACTATTCGAAATAAAGCATCGGATTTTAAACAATCTCTGCCAATAGTACCAATAATTAATATACATATTTTTCGCACTAAAAACCTTATAAGATAGATAGACTTACACCACGAATCACATAATTGTCCAAAGCATCACGCATGCGATTCAAAGCCTGTTCACGATCTTTCCCATGCGTCACAAGCTAAATTTAAGTAGATTAAAGTTTATGGTCGTTTACCACTTAGGAAAAATCTTATAATATGGCAGTAATTTGAGAAAAAAGCAATAAAACATGAAGCTCTCCCAAATATTATGCAGCAACAGCAATATAAAAAAATTCAAAAAAAACCAAAAATTTTTATACTTTACAAATTAAAGGATCATAGTAGATAGAAATTTCAGATCCTTCGCGTATACCCGAATCACAACGCACTCCTTTTACATTGCGGTGAGGCTCTTCGTATTTCGTAAGGCGCCCAACTGACGGTAAACCAAATCCTTTATAAGGATCCTTAAAATATTGAATTCTGATTTTTAAGGACTTTTTTTGAAGTAAAATGAAAAAAATTCGCAAATCAATTCATAAAAAATGAACCTCTGCGTAAACACGACACTCAAATGCCCAACCTCTAATACCAATATCGTTTTGCGTGATTTTCAACTTATGGCCATAAGCAACGCGTAACATTTGTTGAACAATGTCCAAGCCGGTAATAGCTTCTGTGATTGGATGTTCAACCTTAATTTCATAGTTTAGTAGATCATAGTTTAGCATAGTTTAGTAGATCAGCTTTCTTTCTTCATGTTTGGCCAAATTATCATTTAAAATAAAAAAGGAGTAAGAAGCAATAAGTAATAAAAAAAAGAGGAAAAAAATCACTTGGAGACGAGTGTTCATCTCCAAAAAATAGAAATTTTTTTTCGAATCAACAAGAAATTCTACGGTACCAGCGGAGTCATAACCAACAGCAATGGCGAGCTGAGTTGCTGCAAAAAAAGTATTTCTGGCGAAAAAGGAATTTTTTACAAAATTTTTTAGAAAATAAAAATAATTCCTTATATATTCCCTTTCAATACAAAAATTTACTAGTTTATGAAAAATTAGCTTAAAAAATAAATAAACACAAATATTTTAAATAAAAAATGCAAAATAATTTCAATTGAAAAAGAAAAATTAACCATCTAATAAGTTTACAAACAAAATAATAAAGATTTGCATGAAATTTCAAAAAAATACGATTCCAAATTTTAATACAAATTTTTATAGGTAAATTTTTATAGAAATTATAGATAATTTTTACAGATAAATTTTTTTTTTATATGATCGATTATTGCTAAGATTATCATTTATCACGGCTTTCTACTCACAGGAGGAGAAAATTTGCTATCAAAAAATTTGCGCAGGTCCAATTTCATTTCCATCCATAAGTGCATAAGTGACTCTCTAATTTTGCACCTGAGGGAATTAAGAAACGAAGCAAGCCGAGCCAGAAATTACTATTGACTAACAAGTGCCATATAAGAGACATAATTTTAATATTAATTAAATAGTACGATTGCTACTTTTAAAAAAATTTTGGAAATAGATCCTTGAAATTAATAATAGATAAATTAAAATGAATAACAAAAAGGAAATTTCTGCAAAGACAAAGCGGAAAATAAAAGTAAGGATTTAATAAATCCTAATAGATCTTAATGAGATACCTTGAGCGCCCATTCTTTTACGCATATCAGGATCCACAAACGATGATGGAGCTTCTTCGATAACCTTTTGATTACGCCTTTGAATAGAACATTCACGCTCATTCAACCAGAGAGCATTTCCATGCTTATCACATAAAACCTAAAATATTATAAGAGTAGTGACAAGCGAATTCCATCGCTAGTTTTTATTATTATAGAGTACAAAAATTTAAAAAAAATCAGCCACATGTAGTAAAATTCTTACTTGCATTTCAATGTGACGAGGATTATCAATGAATTTCTCAACAAGCATACGATCATCACCGAAAGATGACTTGGCTTCTTGCTTGGAAAGACGATATCCATCTCGAGCTTCTTTATCGTTCCACGCAATACGCATTCCTTTACCACCACCACCAGCTGAAGCCTTGATCATAACCGGATAACCAATATCATTTGCAACTTTGACGCATTGATCTTCATCCTATAATGAAAGTAATTTAATTAATCAATTTTAAAAATATAAAAATAAATGAATTGATTAAAAAACAACCGCTTACATCGATTTCTCCGTCATAACCTGGAATCATATTCACGCGAGCTTCAGTAGCAATTCGTTTTGAATGGATTTTATCACCCATAGCAAGTATTGCTTTTGAGTTCGGTCCAATAAAAACTGCACCAGTTTCCTCGAGTTTTGCAGCAAAATCAGTGTTCTCTGAAAGGAAACCATAACCGGGATGTACCTGAAAAATTAATGGATTTTAAAAAGAAAAAACCAAAAAAGATTTTCAAAAATCTACAAACAAAATCTACAAACTGCTTGAGCTCCGGTATCCTTAACAGCTTGCAAAATTCTATCAGCACGGAGATACGATTCACTAGTCGGTGCTGTACCCACACAAACAGCTTCATCTGCTAATTTAACGTGTAGTGACGCACTATCCACATCCGAATGAACCGCTACAGTTTTGATACCCATAGCTCGACAAGTTTTGATTACACGACATGCTATTTCACCTAAATATCTAATAAATATAAGTACTTACCAAAATTTGCACTAAAAACTTAAAAGAGCCATAAAAACTAATTTTAACAATTCGCTCAAAATTGAATAATATGAATTATAACTGATAGGTGAATCAGACGATATGATAGCAATTCAGATTTATTTGCTATTTAAAGAATCTAAAAATTTATAAAAATAAATAAGAAAAGTATTTCTCGATCTAACATCGCTCTGATAACCACTCATTGAATATCTAAAATCCAAAAATGAAAAAATACAATGAGGATTTTCTAAAAAATAAACCAATTTATTGGAAAAAATCTAATTTTGATAACCTCGATTTGCGATAAGGATTTTTTCGAATTTCGCTTCACTCGCATCAATCGGATCTAATGTATAAATTGAGCGATCATCCTGAACCAACGTTTTTAATCGGCTTATATCTGATGACCTGATTTAAAAATTATTGATAATATGATTATGCAATGTTAAAAATATTTCTTCTAAAACTTTTTCTTGAATTTTCAGTTTGTGGGTATTTTACTTCAATTATGGTCAAGCAGTAGAGATTCGAATTCTGCTGTTTGATAGAAATGCTAATAAAGGTGTAATCTTGGTGGCTCTTATTCGACTTATCTGTGCTATCTTCGAACCAGTCGCATGACAGCCAGCGAAACCAGTCAAATCAGCAAAGGTGCGATCTCTTAGATTTAATTATATTTAATAATTTTCTTCATTTAAATATAAATAAATAATTTTTTTTAGATATTAAAGATGTTTATACGAAATAATTTCGATATTTTATTCTATTTTTTTTGATATTTAAATTCTTTCATCAAATCATCTTTTAATAATAATGTATTCATTTAATTCTGTTCTTCCTCTTCTTCTAGTAAATACCATTTTTGATTTGGCAGACTCTATGAGCCCTACTAAGGAGATTTTATGGAGACTCTATGGAGACTTTTTTGACAAACGGCTATTTCCAGAAAAAAAAAACGATGAAATAATAGGTCGAAATAATAGGTCGAATTAGTTTGATTAATGCTATTTATGAAGATATGATTTCAGTTTGTATATGTAAGTTTGCAAGAGTTTTACGGGATATTATAGAACTGAAAATTAATGAAATTTTTCATTTTTCATTTTTAGTATCGAAATGAATGAAAGATTGATGAAATAAATTATCACATTATCAGTTCTATCGATTCATTCAAAGGCGCTAATGCAACATTCATATTCGCCAAAAATGCAAAAAAATAATTTAAATATAAAAAATAATTATAATTTTAAATATTTAAAAAAGGAGAGAATGAAAAGAGATGAATTATTTTAATTAAGTTCAAGTAGTATGAATGAGATTCGAGTTGTTTCACTTGAAGAAGACAAATCATGTCGCTTAAAATGCAATCCAAGCGTGGTACCACCGCGAACGAGTAGAAAATAGTAACTTACTTAGCAGTGCTAACGGCAGTTCGTAATGCATAATAATTTTTATTTAAAGGCAAATATCGATGATTTATGAGTCGATTTGATTTCGAATAGTGAAATGTTATACGACCTGCTGCATACATTACTTTTTTTACCTAAAAAATTAAAATTTTTTAAAAATTTAACAAGTGAAAATCTAAATCGAAATGCGGAAGGCAATGAATGAATTGAAATAATCCATTAATAATCAATCGTACGAATTACTTCCCCACTGGGATAGGTAATTCCCGAATTTTCCTCCTCCCTAGCACTTCCTATTCCTATCCTTCCTTATCCCATTTCCACCATTCTCCCCTTTCATCTCCTTATTTCTATTTCCCTTCATCTTCTTGTCCATCCTTTCATTTCTCAGTCAACCTTAGCCAACCACCCACTTCTCTCGCGTTCTTAATATTCGTTTTTTTGCATTACATTTATCTTAAAAGAAATGAATTTTTGCAAAATTTCACCTCTTTCACATATATCTTCCCACAACTGTTCTTTGGAAAAGAGCTTTAAACAGAAACCCCTTTCTCCGTATTATCTCCTCTTCTCTACAAATAACTGCTAAATTCGTTTCCCCCCTCTCCCCCTTCCTCTTCATTCATTCTGCTATCTCCGTTTGCAATCTTTAATCGTTCATCTTCTATCAGTATTCATCAATTCATGACATTCATTTGATTTATATTTTCTCTACACCCATTTGTTTAAATAACGAAAAAATACGGCCCATGATTTTTCTTCCAGCAACATATATTCATCCTGAATCGGTTGATTTCGTCGACTTCTCAGAGGACCTCATTTCTGCATTTAGGAATAGAGAAAACATCATCCGAGTATCGTTTCAATGGAAGAACTTTTATCTAATCAAAGAGTAGTGATTAGAATAGTGATAATGCTCGATCTCAATTAGTCGGGACAACAAGTCGTTGGAGCTCTAAGTTAAGATTTCAGGTAAGAAGACAAAAAAGAATTACTTTCCCATCGTTTGACTGCTTTCGTTTCCTCTTTTTCCTTCTCAAGATATTTCCTTCTAATTCTTCCCTTTCCTCTCTTTCCTCCTAATTTTTCTTAAACAAATATCAAAAATATCATCAGCGTTTCATTAAAATAAAATTTATTGTTAAAATCAGTGACTTTTTTTTCTTTTGCTTGTTAAAAAATTGTCATACAAAATTATTATACAAGTTATGCAAATTATAATATGCAGCTCAAATTAATATGTGCATATGTATCTAAGGATGTAAGAAGATTTCCTTCCCTAATTACCCTAATTTCTTTATATTAAATTTGCTTATATCTAAATAATTGATTCCATGATGGTGCCATCAACCAGAATCTGGTTTAGTGATTAAAAACGGGCGGTTGACATGAAATAAAACAATGTTTTGGTTCGAAACGTAGCAAAAGAGCAAAAGCCTCTATTCTTCAGGCGAAGTCCATAGGTAAGGCTCCCTTAGTGCTTAGTTCAATAATAGTGTCATTTTAGAGTCATACTGGCTCGGACGTTGCCTGAATTCACAAGATGTGCTTCAGAGGTTGAGGGACCAGGGTTATTTGACAACAAGTAGATTACTGGAAAAGTAAAGGCTGAAACAGTTGTGGGACCAGAGCAGTGAGACATTAAAAGGGCTGCTGAAACCTAGTTACATGGAGAATTATCTGGGATTGATGGCATTTTACCACAATAGTACCACAATAGAGCCAATCAAAGGGGTTATATGAAACTTATAAAGGCACTGTAGATGGAAACAAAGGCTTAAATCTACACTAATTAGAGGTAGTTAACCAAGGAAACTGCTCTCTCACTTGAAGATGTATCAATTCTCCAATACACCCCAGACCCAGAATGTTCAAAAAGAAGAGGAAAAAAGAGATGTGTATGCAACAGCTGGGAAGTTGGAAATTTCCAATATCTCCGTTGCAAAGCACAGCAGCGAAATGAGGCAGAAAATCATGAATAAAATAGCCGTAATAACTATCGAGACCCACCATCGAGGCTCAATGACGCACCACCGGATAATATATTTAAAAATGCAAATAGTCTTCGCAACAGTTCCACTTAACAGAAACTAATAAATTGGTGTACACCACAGTCACTGCAATTCTCGAAATGCTGAGGCATACAAAGTCAAGAAGAATAACAATGCAATTCGCCCATGGAAAAGAAGGATGGGAAATTATGATTAAAGCACATGCAAAGAAATTAGCCAGCTGATTGAATTGCAGAAAATTGTGAAGAATAAAAATAGCATCTGGATGCTAAGAAAATACGAGGAACCAAACGTCTAAGATATACTCTCAACTTTAGTGCAATATGATAACGATGGAGCCAGCAGCAGAAACTATACAATACTGGAAGAATATATGGAAGAAATGGAAAATTCATAACACCAGTGTCAAATGGCTGCAAGATAAATAATTTTTGGATCTGAGAAGAAATCACGACAACCTCACAGAGCAGGAACCAGCTATCTCATGGTTGCTGACATTCAACAGCGACTCAAAAATATGAAAAGTAGGACAGCATCTGATCCCGACATAATTCACACTTATTGGCTGGATAAGCTAACAGCGATTCGTGAGCGATACAGATGAACCAGCTGCTTGTGCATGCTCTAACACAGGGAAAGACAGTATTGATCATGAAAGATCCTCATAAGAGAGCAACACCGTCCAACTACACAACCTGCCTACCCATAATGTGGAAAAACCTGGCATTATAGCCATCAAACTTTATGACCATATGAGCCCGTATATGAGTACAGTTCAAAAAAGCATGGGAACAACACCAGAGGCTCTAAATACCAGTTGCAATCATAGATAAAAACTGTCTAGACTAAAATCCCGGCAGACTAATCTATAAATCAAAATTTTGTGTGATTCCGTATTAGCTTGGAATAACTTGTAGAAAAGCCTATGATTAATATTCACACATGCATCTGTGGATGTTTGGCTCTCTGGTTCTAAAGTCAACAGGACCCTAAATATATTCAAATCAACCAGATATCATGGTAATAGACAAAAATGAAACAACACTGATGATAAATATTGCAATACCAAGAGACTAGAACGTCAGGAAGAAGGAATATGAGAAATTATAGAAATACCAAGGGCTGAAAAAAAAGAAAATATGGAAAATAAAGGTAATAAAGATAAGATAAAAGTAATCCCAGTGATAACTGAAGCACTTGGAACTATTATCTCTAAATTAGAAAAGTGGATTCAGCAGATTGCATTGCACTATTAGGAATAGCTAAAATATTGTGCAGAATCCTCAATCTCACCGGCTTCTGGTAGAGGACCCAAGGTTAAGAATGATCATGACAGGGACTGAAAAAAGTTTTGCCGAAATTTCATTCTTTAAGTTTACTGTTATCTGAGGAATCGGTTCTATGATGTTTATCCTTAACCATATGATTTGAAAAAAAGAAGGAGAAAAAGAAAATTTTTGGAATAAAAGATAACTAAAATTCTCAGTCACTTCTGTACATAAACTTTTTATCAATCTTGATTACTATAAATGATTCATCACTTTATCACTTTATCATCGTGTGGTTAGTAAGAGGGAGTATCAATCTTACCTTCAAAAAATCCCGCTT